CGCTTCTGAGCAGTCCCGACGCGCGCGACGGGCGGCCGAAAACGCTTCCGCCTGAGGCCGAAAACGTTCGGCGTGACCGTGGGGGGTCGGTCCGAACGGCTCATGCTTCACCTGAGCGAACTGGTCGGACCCGGCTCGATGGGCTCGATGGGCTCCGTGCCGAAATGCCAAAGAAGCACTCAAGGGTGGATGGGTGCCATCAACATGAAGAGGGTGAAGGAGGAGGATGGAGGAGGATGCTTCGTCTGGCCTGGTTGATGGTAAAGGTTCTTCAATACAAGTGATCCATTCAGATCCTTTCATCAAACGAATGATCCCTTCCCCTTGGCGACCTCCCCTATTGAAATCCACCACTCAAGCAGTGGGTTTCAGGGGAGGTTTATGCAACGGGAAGGGGTTAGGACTACAGTCGATGGACCACCAAATCAAACCTTGCGAGACATATTGGCGCGCATGCGTAAGTAACTTCAATACGCAGGACAAGGCCATCTACGGGGGAACAAATTGCTGCAGCGTGGCCCGTGAAAGAAATGACTTCACTTCAAATACATGTTTAGATGGATACCTGAATACCAGGACCCCTAAGGCGCGGCTAATGGACATCCCACTGGATATCCCTTAACCTTCAAGGGGCGGCTTATTGGACACCCCAAACCACAGGCCCCTGTATGGTATAGATATATTGACACATGGTTCTATCATCACCTCGCAGCACCTGGCCAAGCATCCCCTCCTTATCATCGATTCCATTATCTCTGATTCCATCAGAGTATATCTCCATACTCTGATTAACAACTCGATTCCTAATCAAGTGCATTAAATAATATATCTCTGATTTCATCTGATTTCTCCATTTTTGTGGCGCAGATTGGCGCAGAGCATCCCTTCGAACTCCTTCGTGGCGCCGACCTGTGGCAGCAAGCGTCCCTGCCTCGGATGCAGTGTCATGCCATGTCACCGAGGTACATGGCCACGTGCCCCGCGACAGTGCGACTTTGAAGCCGAAGAGTCGAAGCTCCGAGGGCTTTGAAGATGCTACTGCTACTAGAATAGCTTCGTAGACTACGACTAGTAGTAATGCACTTCTTATTAGTAGCGATGCACTTGTTACTAGTTGCAGGAAGCTACTCTAACAATGGCCTCAAGCTAGCCTCGACTCAAGGGAAACTCAAGGGCGCTTTCCTGTCAGCCAAACTTATTACGGTCCTGATGAGGACACTGCGGAAGTCACCAAGCACCCCAACTTGCACATGTGGTTGGTGAACAAATCCACTTTTTGGATCGTCTCCGCGATTGCCCCCATTTTGCATGCGGAAGCCATCATGACAGAATCCATTTGACCTGATACACCCGGAGCACAAAGAGGCAATTGCACATCCTGAAGTGGGTTTGTTTGAGAGTGTATTGATATCAGAAAAAACGCCCACCACAAGAAACAAACGCAACCTTGAGCACAAAGCCGAAGCCCCCATTGCATGACCATTTTCCATCATTTTCCTCTATGCAAGCAGGTGGTTTTCCACTTCCATGATTATTTCAGGGAGTGTACTGTTCCAGCCTGGGTTCAGACCACACCCCCAGTTCACCAGCCTTAACGTGCCCGGCCCCACTACAGCTGACCAAACCGGCCGCAGCTGCCTTGATCGACCCAGCGGCTGGAGCATCTCATCTCTTGTCAAGGGCCGCCTCGGTGGCAAGTGTCATCACGATCACCATGGCAAGTGGGCTAGGAAAACACCAGATTCAGCATGTCATGCAGTTTGCAGGGCTTCGTTGTGGACACCCAAGTCTCAAAACCGTGAGCGATCCCACGTCACCTCCCCCCCCCCCGCATTGGCGGTCCCATGCTCCACTCGAGCGGCTCTCGCACACTGCCGGCAAAGCTGGCGGCCTTAGGGAAGGCTGGAGATCTGGAGAATCGCGACCATGCTCTTCGATTGCGGCCAAGCACTTGCGGCATTGTTTTGGAGGTCACGGTGGTCTTCGGACACTCAACGGTTGAATACGAGGGTCACGCTTCGGTTTGGATCCGGTCGGTCCTGTCACGGTCGTCCGAAGTCAGCTTGGAGTCTCGGCGGAACTCGGCCGTCGTCACTGAAACGTTCCGAGTCCGTTCGGGCGTTGTTCGAAGCCCCCGAGACTTGGTTGGCATGACAAGGCTTGACACTTCGAAGGTCGAATGACTCAATGGTGAGGACCTACTTCTTGGCTCTAAAGGTGTCCAATTGACCCTTGTGATGGATCTCTAGGCAAGCAACATGCACTCTCAGCCATTTCCAAGATGCTGTGCTACAATAAGAACAAGTTACACACTCTCTCTCTCTCTCTCTCGGGGTTCTGCTATAGTAGCATTTACTTTCAACATACAGTTGCGACATGTGCCTACTTGAGAGGGTTTAGTATATCTCCACTTCCCACTGGGCATCCAGGACTATGCTGACACTCAGCATGCCCATCAGGGTCAAAACCTGGAGCTTCAAAATTCTGGTTGCTTGACCTCCCAGCTATTTGGATGGGTCAACCAATATCTCCCGGTTTTGACCGCCAAATCAGCCTGGCAGTCGCCACTCCTGGTGACTGTGCCCCGGATCATCCCAGCCACCGGAGAAGCCGCAGCAGGGCCCGCAGGGGAGGCCATGCGCCTGGCGACCAAGGCGACCAAGGACTGCATGACCGGGGCCCAGGCGAAAGATTGTGAACTGTCCGCGGCGGTTTCCTCCATGTTTCACACAAGTAGAATTTCTAGAATCATGGTGATTCAGTGATGGTTTGATTTTTCTTTTCATATTGGTGCGTGTCTCATTACCAGTCGCAGTTGATGATGGATAGTAAAAACTGACATCTCAAGAATAGTAATCCTCTTTTGCGGACTGTTGCTGGCAATGGGACTGAAACCCCATGTCTATGTCACAGTTCGTTCACGAGTTTGGGGGCTCCACGTTGCGTGGGTCTCTGGAACACTCCTGTCATGTGCTCACAGCGACCACCTTGGCTCCCTTTTCATCCACTTTCATGAAAATTGTCTCCTTGCTGAAATGATCTCCATTCCTAAACATGCCCACCCATAACGGCCATAACGATTAAAGCAATAATGTGACGTGAGTTTTTTCATAGTTGCTTAGACTGCCACGCAAATATCACAGCCTTAACTTTCCTTGGGGGGTGCAATGAGTTCTAAACATGGACACTGTGGCTTTCATTGGCTTTCCACTGCTGCTTTATATTGGCCACAAAATCAACACCATATTTCTTAGTATGTTTTAACACAATGCCACATGTCTTTGAGCGGCAGAATTTGTGATACTTTCGACTCTCGACAATTTGTGCCATTCAACTCAATTACAGTTTTCTTTCGTTTCTTTTTTCTTGTTGTGAGGGGGTCTTGCTTTCTTCAGGATACTTGAGTGGCAGTCTCATGTTGTCCTGTTTGCAGGACCTTGCTTGTGGTTATGGTGAGATCATGTGAGATCTAACAAAGGCATCTCCTTGTTTGTGGCCGCGTCTCGTTTTCAAGCAGCTAAACCTGATGTTGAACAAACAAACCGGGCAACCAAGAAACCTCATCTTTGACTACATAATAATCATAATATACATATGGACTGAGCCACATTGAACCAACTAAATGGTTGCCCATTTTAGACCTGCAGCACTCCCAGGCCAAACAATGCTTGTCACATCCGCATCCGTAGCTTTAATGCTTTTTAGCAATTATTGAAACCACTTTCCTGAATCTTGAGGCATAACTCTCTTTGGACCATTCCAGCTGCACCTTGGACAAGGAAGCTAGCCTAGGCCTAGGATCTCCGGCTGCGAACCCCTCCAACACTCCCTCCAACATAGTCAGGCTGTGGGCTCGAGTTGAACCAAAACAAAGTGGCTTGACTCAGCAATTCCCCGAACGAGTGGTGTAAGTTCAATTGACTTTGAATTTATAGATGTATTTCCGAGAATGCAAAACAAAGTCCCGCCATCAACCACCAGCTGTTGCATGAGACAAAATATCTAATTTCATTCCTGCAACTTCCTCAGTTCAGGGTCCGCAGCCGTCGAACTCATGCACGGTCCCAGCAGTCGTGGCTTTGCCAACAAGCTGGTGATTCAGGACTGACTGGGGCGGCCGACTGGTCGACTGACTTGGTAGGCTTGTTTTGCCTGGGCCTAGTCTTGAAGCAAGAGTTCGGCAGCTGGGTTCGGGCTGCGTTCGTTGTGCAACCAACCGTTCTGAAGTTCTAACCAACCCACCGTGATGCTCATATCAACGGATGAATAGTGACCCGTCCCAGCCCCACCGCTGCTGGTACGTGGCCCCAGATGCGAAGGGGCCCAGATGGTACGGTTGCTCTTGGAGGACGAAAAAGCCCGAAAGAACCAGTCCATTTCCATCAGTTCACCTGTAGATGATGCTCGGGATGATCCCTTGTTCGGCGATGATGCCGGGAATATCCCAGCGATCCCCTGTCCGAGCTTCCCCTGTCCGACCTGGATCTGGACCTGGACCGATCAGTTAGAATGATTTGAGGGGATTAGGCCGGCATGATCTATTCCATCATATATCTGGCTCACCCCACTAGTTCCGGTTTGGTGGCGTGTTCAACTCCAAACGCAGAACATATCAGAACATGGATCGACCTGATAGGCGGAGCTGATCATCCCTGATGTGGTGATGGCATGTGGACGTTTCACTCTGCCCACCCAGCCCGAAATGGGATTCTTCAGTCCTGCTGGCCACTATCAGGAGGCGGCCGCAGTGTCTCATTCCGATGTGCGTGAGCATTAGAGCGGTTTCAGAGTAGATGGCACAACCCCAAGCTTACTTTCAGTGGGGGCCCATATAAATCCAAACTTAGGGATTGCGCCATCTACTCTTAATCCACTATAATGAACTTGGAGAGCTTTGGAGGATTCTGAGAGTCTCAATTTTGAGACCAGCTGCTCTGAACACACTGAGTTTGGAAGCAAAACCATATACGTCCAAGGGTCGCTTCGCAAAGCTGTGCGACGTTTGATCCCTCTTCAGCCCCTCTGTCGCCGCCCCTCTGTCACCTTCGACCGCTTCTCCACTTGGCTCATCCGCCAGAAGTGGGCGAGTCTCGCTGAACTCCGCAAGACACGAGTTATGGGTGAGACCTCAAGAGGGCGAAGTTGGAGTCGGAGCCTGGCTCGACACGTGACATCGAACGGCAGGACTCTTGGCAGGATGATCTGACCTTAGTTGGTGTGGGGTCGGAATCACCGTGTTGAGTTTCACCCCAAGTGCGAACGGTCAAGTCCTGCGACTGTTCAAGTCCGCGTGCGAGAACTTGTCCAACAGCTCAAGCACAAACATTATGAGAAAGCCGAAACCATCCGAAACATACCAATGTCCCCACGGCACATCGCATCAGCATTTACACACTGCTCCTTGTTGGCACTCTCCCCACCTCCCCGACCCTGGAAAAAGACTGGGAGAACTCATGAGAACGTCGCATCTCTTCACCCTCTTAGGGTCCACATGACAGGCACCGGGACCTCGCCCAGTCCCACACGACCGTCCTCCGGCGCCCTCCTCCACTGCGTCCGCCGTCCGCCTGTCGCCCAAAGTGGCGGTGCACCACCGTCGCCCGGGGCTCCGGCACTTCCTCTCGACCCATCGACTCCGGCGCCTTGAAACGACGAAGAACGGACGAAACCAGGTCTGGAAAACGCATATCGATCAGCGGGAGGCAATCCAAGAGAGGTTGAGAGACCTAACTTGTAGGACCCTGTAGTGGTACTGTGGTACATGGCATGGGCGACAGAAGGGCTGTTCCGCTTGGATGACAGGAGTGTCGCAGTGGTTTGAGGCCGCCGGGCGGCGCGCTCCGCAGCGATCGTTCGCTGCGGAGCTGGGCGACTTGGACGGACGACGGGAGGACGAAGCAAAGCACCCACCAAGCATTTGAGCACACATCGGTGCTCTGTGGCATATATGCGGCATAGTGGCAGGATCCCAACACTTGGGGGTGCTTTTCTGAGCGGCGAAGCCGAAGCCTGTGGACCCAGGTCGTATCTGAAGAGCTGAAGAGCAAGGCCGGTTGGGCTTGGGGATGGTTGGGGCCTCCTACAGTCGAACCGTTCCGGCTCCGCCTGGGGAAGAACATGGACGAACCCCCAACGGTCGCGGTGGTTCCGCACCGGGTCGTGCCTCTCCTGGGTCACCAGCCGGAAGATGCGGCCCTCATCGGGGGGTGGCTGCTTTAATGCACCTCGCGGAAGAAGGACTGATGGATCTTCCAAACCTCAGTCGAGGTGTCAATCGGATTGAGATTAGCCATCGCTGAGGCGTGCAAAAGAACCGCTGGCTGGTGACATTGTCATATTATGCCCAAGCAAACCTGCAAACAGATTGAACTTGATCTACTTAAATGTACAAGTCTAGTAATTAAAGATCAGAAAACTGTAAATGTAATATATCAACATTAAGACCATTAAAGACCCATGTCTAGTCTAGAGTTCTTGCCTTGGTGCTTGTCAATCGGCCATCCACTCCATGGCTGATATTGCGTAGTAAAACAAATTGTAAAACAATTATAAAAACTGATTGGGCTCAAGGTGAATCTATCCGGCTGCACCAGCGCGCCCCAAACCAGTGCACACTTTCGAAGCAAACGCGACTTCGACATGAAAAAAGAAAAACGAGCTCCCCGGCCATAGGGATGCTCCCTCTCCGTCCGGAAAGGTTGGTACAAGGCAGGCAGCATCGCCTTGTCAATGGTCACCTCAGGCAGTTGGGGTTGGCCGGTTTCCAACTTCATTCATGCCTGTAGACGGCGAAGCCGCCGCTGGCTTCGCCGGCACGAACCGCAGAATTCCCACCACCTCCGGACTCGGCCGAGTCCGGATTGAGGACGGTTGATTAACAAAGCCCCCTATATATCCCTATATGCAAATGTAACACCATTCTGGGGAGTTCTCTTCAAAGTCAATAAACCAGCTTCCAAAACCCCGACCTGCACGTATGCAAAAGCACGTATGCATGTTTCAACGAACACCTCCGACCTTCGAGCGGCTTGCCACTCTCCCGCCCTCCAACAGCACCGGGGCCTTGTCTTGAGAGATCACCGGCAGCAAGTTTGGACGGACGCCCTGGAAAGGAGCTGTCTGCCTGAGCCGTCCGAAGCTCGGTGGACCCACAGCTGTGGGCTGGACTAGCCTAACTGAACGCAGGCACAGGTGTCCTTTCTGCTTTTGGATATGGGATCGAGTCTTGCGGTCCAATTAAAGGATTCCAAAGGGATCCTGTTCACACCAGGCGCCACCGTCAGGGTCACCGTTCGGACCGTCTGCGGCATGGTTTTGATAAGCACAGGGCTTTGTTGAAAACTGGAACGCTTGGACAGTTCAATCACTGCCAAAACGCATGGTCAAGCTGCTCTTTCTTCTAGTCCCTCTGAACTCTCAATGCCAACCCCAGTTCTGTTGGCCCTACGACTTTTGATTAAAACCCGTTATAAAGAGCGCTTCCAATTCAAAAGGGGGGTTTATTTATCACGCCGCCCACGAGAGATTCCTGGTCTTTCCTCTGTGGACAAAACATCCGTCAGGAAGCGAAGAGAAGCCCTTCATGAAGTAGGCGTTGCCCGTATCCTTGGGGGCTTCACCTGGGCGAAGTCAGCTGTGCCCAATGAAAAAACGCCGAGACTCGGTGAGGATATCCAGGATCGGTGGGGAGGTGGGACCCGGAGGGTAGACCGCATGGATGATGCACACACCCTTGGAGGGCCACCAAATCGTCCCAAATATTTTGCACCATGCAAGCCAAGTCTGCAACAGGATTTGGATGCTACATGGTACTTGGCGAGGTGGTGAGGGCGGTTGGCACCTGTTCCTCACAAAGCCTTTCTCCTCCATCCACCTGGCCATCTGGTGGGCATTTCTAGCACCAGTTCCTCCTTCCAGGTCCTGTGGTTCGACCCAGTGGCGGAGGTTCAGCTCATCTTGGATGCTAAAGTCCTTCCGATGCTTGGTCCTTACGAGGACTGCGACGCCGGCCAATTCGCACAGAAACACCAGAAGTGGTGCCGATAGATCTACAGCCACTTACGAGTAAGTAAGGGTGATCCAAGGGTTTTGGGTGTGTGCTGTGAGTCTTTGGATTCACTGGTTGCCTAACCAGTGCCAACTCGATTCATCGACTGGGACGGGTAAGCTCAAGATTCACTGATTCACTCCTTCACCATCTAGAACCAATTTCGACCCCGCACAGGTCCAAATTGACACATGCTTCCCAGTCCCATGACATGGAGCTCCCCACTTAAAACTTCAACGAATTGAATTGGCGATTGAAGGGATTTCCGGTAAACTCCCGGAATAAACAGCAATATTGCATGAGATCCCAAGCTCGTCAAGAGAGGTAGAGGATACCATTTATATTTATACATACACACACACATATATATATGTATACACATGCATGTATATACACATGCTTATTTTAGTTTGTGAAGTTCCATTGAGATAAAACATGTGCATATAATGCATATACATTTAACAATTCCAATTAAATGCTTATTGTATCTTATTGTTACTACTAGTAAGGCACCTGTTCCTAGTAGCGTGGCACTTGTTTCTACTACTACAGGGGTCAGGTCTCAAGACACTTTGCACAAATCAATCGTCCAAGGCCCCATCTTCCCAACAGAGCTTGACGCCAAAGACCAGCACGGGATGGCGACCTTCTGGTTTCTACAGCTTTGGTCTTTCCATGTCCTTCCAGGGTAGAGCCTCCATCTCTACTTACGCATCCATACTAACGGCCTAACTCATACTAACTCCGAGAACGCACCTGCCTCTCTAACGGCCCGGATGCACGGATGCGTACGCGGCGAGGCTCTTTGGTACTGGCTTTGCTGCTTCTGCAACTTCGTAGGTCCTCAGTCGAGACAACACCACACTTGAGATCCAATCCATGGAACCAACTAAGACGCTTGCAACATCTGCGAGTACCAAACTACTGATTTCGAGGTAGGCATTCTCTGAAGTCTAAAACCACGTTCTCTTCCTTGTCGTTTTACCGTGCTTTGACTATAGCTGCAACATTTGCAGTGCACATTTGTGTGCAATGCATGCATTTGAGCTGTGTCGAACTGGCAAACATGATGCCATGGCGCAGTTCGTTCCAAACTAGCATAGCTAGTGAGGTCTCAGCCTCGCTGCGTTATCGTATTTGATATCGTTGAGTGTTGTCGTCTCCGTGCCAGGTACAAACATCGATGTCTATGCACAACCAAAATTGCCGCACAACACGGCACTCGTCGTTTTCTTTTTGGGGAGGGAAGCTGGGTTGTCCATGTGCGGGGTTATCATTCCTTTTATGTTATTCATCGTTTTACGGTGTAGCCTGGCAAACTGTAGTAAACTCACGGTTTGCAAAGTAAATGGCACAATTCTTGGGATGTCGGATGGGGCTCCATCTAAACCCATCAACCACCTACATTGGGGATGGTGCCATCTACTCCTCTCAATCCACCCACTGACCGGAGGTCGCCGCCCCGGAACACCGGTGGAACCCCGGCTTCATCGCGTCGGCTCCGATGGTGCGCTCCAGGCGGTCTTTGATGCCTCGGTGAGAGCGAGGTACGGTGAGAGCGAGGCCTCGGTGAGTCCCACCATCCAATGCAGGCTGGAGTGCGGTGAGTCCCACCACGCAGGCTAAGGTGAGGGCTGGAGTGAGCATGGAGTGCGACACTCCATTTGGAGGGCGGCGGCGGTTTCATGTCTGCGACGATCTGCTAGGAAGGTACTGCTAGTGGTCCACGGAAGTTCTTAGGTGGTCCATGGGGGTTCTGTTCTTCGTCGCCATCAAACAACTCCAAACACTCAATGACCTCCAGTCCGACCACTTGAAGCACCCAGTGCACCGTACCACTGGCGAGTCAGAATGGACACGGGCGATCTGGACTGCGTACGTGCGGCAGATCATGGCAGTGTGACCAGTAGCCATGGTCCATAATATCAATCCGAGTGCATCCAGTTACCTTTATAGCTGGCAGCCAGTGGTTCCAACGACTAAAGCCATAAGCCTGGTTCTGTATATAGTGGTAACTGGGATCCACTGGGAATAGTATCACCACTAGCACGTGAGACAACGACCATGTAATGTCAAACAAACCGCCAGACTCTACAGTCTGCAACGAGACCATCTGTCATGCCAATCCATCTTTGTGGTCTGTCACTGAGGCAATTTTTGCATCAAAAAGCCAAGCAAACCATCAGAACAGCAATTAGATGCAGCTTTCCTGTTGTAATGGTGTGATTGGATTCAATATGACTCAGTCAATCTTGAAAAGCCCCATTTGGAATGCCAGGTCACGCATCCACAGAGCGCTCGTGGGCTTCGACAGCTGCAACTGGCGGGGGTCGGGTCTGAGAAAGCCCAGTTTGGATGGACACCGGGGAGGGGAAGACCAAGACCAGTGTCTCCACAGAAGCATGGCTTGGCTGAGATGGCATCCAACGTGCACATGCACCTCTCCTCCATTCTCCTCCACCAAGCGTTTGTGTGTTGTGCTTCCGCGGTTCTGGTTCCAGCAAACATACGCTAGCTATATACGCTAAGTCAAGCCCCTGTCAATGACATCACTGATGTGACGTGCTTGCAAGTTTCTGTTTCAATGACTCCCACTGTAACAGTTCCAGTAGGTTCCTGCGATTCATTTGCATATCAGGACGCACTATATTTATGAACCGCAGGCAGGTTGGCAAGTTCAAGTCCCTCCTTATTGCTTGTCTCTCTCAGCGGCACTGGCTCTGACCTGGCCTCACCTTCCTGCGGCTAGCGTTGACACATCCGTCACCTTCTGAAGGGGACATACTTCTTCTTCCAGTATCTTCCATCTTAGACTCCATGCACAGCACCCAATCCACCACACTTCCCGCCCTCACCCCCCCAAATGCTTTCCTTCACCTCTGAGTGTTCTTTGAATTGGTGAAAGGAATGTTCCATCTTGGATTCCACCGGGCGGTGGAAATGGATTGCACCGCCTCCCGGTAGACCCTGCCGGCCTTCAGGTCGGCCATGCGAGCACCACTTGGGAGGTCGAAGAAGTCATCCTGATCGACCCATCGTTCCGGTGTCGATGGGTGATTGATGGATGGGGAGGTGGGGTGATGAAACAAAACACCTAGTGAGTGAACGAGGGTGGTTCACTTGCTTGTTGACATACCCATCAAGATCAAGGTCACTATAAAATCAAATACAGTACAGCATTTGTTGGGCGCTTGGCGTGTCTACGGTGAACCTCGCTCCCTCGATCTCGTACAGCTGAGGCTTTTGGTCTCGGATTCCAATCGAACTCGCCGACCGCGACGCCCCGGTTCCCGGGGCCGACCGCGAGCTTCACACGGCCGACCTGACTTCCAGGCAACCGCTCGCTCGCTTCCTTTGCCGGAAGGGTTCCCAGCGCTGTGTTCAGTGAAGCAACGCCAGCTGCGGCTTCACGAGGTGCTTGCCCGGGCGGGCAACGCGCATCGTGTGTTGCGTGGTCTTAGGTCTTTTCTTCTCAGGGTAGGTCGGATGGAATTCTTCGGATCTGGGCATGAACATGTATGAAGCTTTGATCTTGCTCCATTTTGGGGTCAACACCGAACATATCCTAACAATTCCTAACATACAGTAGTCACTTCATGTTCGTCATCCCTTTGTATTGTAGGAAGCTCCTCTACGTCTTCCAAATCCAATGAGGCTTGTGGTGTTCGTCTCGGTGGATCCCTGTCCTCAAAGCCTTCGGGAGGCGCGGTGATGTCGAAGTCTACCTGGTTGGTGATGCGAACGCTTAGAGACCATGGTGCTAACGTGGCGACCGAGTTAGTCCTCCCCAAAACCAGGCCGGAATGGGAATGACTGCATCTGGATATCAAGATCCAGGCATGGTTCTATAGGGTCACAATTTTTTGAACTAAAGCAATAACAAATAGGGTGGTAGCTGACCGTGATGGCAGCGCACAAAGTTACAACGAAACCCGGGTTAAATACAGTTGATGGCAAAGAAATCCCGATAATTCGACAGGGGCACGTGGCACTTGCAATTGGATATTTCAGCACCTCTGTGAAATGCTTGCACGGAGCAAGGTCTTTCAATGACAAACATACCCCCGCGCAAGTCAAAGAATACTGGTCCAAGTTCAGACCCCTTGATAAACCATTCCTTCCCAACCCTTGACCTCAAATCCCTTTCAACTTGTCACTTTTCATGTTTATATGATTTATAAATATAAATATATATATATGTTTATCATCAACTCAACTGGCCAACTGTTTGCGACTATGCCCCAAAAAGGGGTATGGACAGTGCGGAGCTAGTTGAGTGAGCCTTTCCCCAGTGTTGTTTCCTATCCAAAGTCCTCATCACCTTGAAATCTCCAAGCAACGATGAGGCACTGTGAGAGGCGGCTCGTGGGGCTCATCAAGCCCTGACGCGGTCATTGGTCAGTCTTTGCAGGGTGTCTCGTGAAAGGAGCTAGTCTATTTGTCAAATACAGTTGAAATGTATATTTTGGTCATGTGGGCGAGCTTTGAGCTCGCTTTGCAGAAGTTGAGCATGATCAAAGCCGCTCTTTCTGCTTGTTTTGCGCTCGTGGCGCTCCCACACGCCGCTTTTCACCTCCCAATCCACCTCCCGATATCCAGCCCTTCGAGGCTCGAGGCCTATCTGACTGCTCAAGGTTCAGCAAAGCCAAGGGTCTGCCCTCCGGGAGGTCTGATACCCCAAAACAAAACATGGGACATATTTTTTTTCATGGATAAAATGGTGTCTTTTTGGTGTGTGAACACTTGGAGACCCCACACCGGTGCGTGCTCCCCAGTCGGTCCTCCCACAACGGCACACCGCGCTCCACCGGAACGCACTCTGAGTCCGTGGCCTCCGCGGGATCCTTGGAGGCTTTGGACTCCTTAGGTCACCCCGGAGAACGGCTGGCGGCCACGGTGAAGAGAAGAGCCCAGTGAGGTGAAGGGCTGGCGGTCAAGACGTTTAGATTCTGGACGATCTATTTGGATCTACTGTGAAGGATCTGTGCAAGTGATTGTGTAAGTCAGTGTCAATCTGTTTATAAGTGTTAGTAGTACCAATAGGTCGTTTATGTAGGTTCAGGTGGAGCACGGTAGCAGAAAAAAAGCCGACAGCAACATTGCTGGGTTGCAGTCTGGTAGTGGTTTGGCAGGCCCAAGTGAAGCAACACCATATGGTGCTTTTGTGAGTACCTCTGTATTGTTCGCACAACAGGCCACGAAAATGCTGCTGCCAAGAACTAGTGACAACCAGTCTGCAGTGTATAGGTGATGCTGAGTCGAACGGAAACAAACTTGGAGCATTGGAGAATCATATCATCGCTGCGGCTTCATACCAAACAGGTGGCTTGATGGACCCCCGATCATGTGGTTGAAAACGCCGCGGCCCCTGTTGACATGGCCGATGACACAAAAATTACAACTCGGTCTCGTGGTGGCGTCTTGGGTTGCGCTCTGCTAGAGTTTATTGATGTTTATTGCATGTACTCATCTAGTGTCACTTGCACAGAAAAAGGAAAATCTAACCAAGCGGGTCAACGTGCCAAAAAAGGAACCACCCACACTCACCTCAAAATCGCGCCCTGACATGGAGCCTTCAACTGTTCAAGCTCAGCTTCTTTGGAGCCTTTGCGTTTTGACTTGGAGCTCTTCTTGGTGCCTGACCTCTTCTCCTGAGGCACAGGAGAGCGTTTGTTTTCAGAAACTCAACGCTCATCATTTGTCAACAAACTTGCACCCCTCAACCTTAGGATTTTGGGAGGTTTGGGAGATGTTGCTTTGGTTGTAGAAGGCACCTGACCAATTGGCAAAGCACATGACCTGGTCAACGGCAAATGTATTGAGCAACTGCATTCATCTGCACACCCCGACCATTCTACCCTTCCAGCACACTAAGAAAGTCACATTTTTGCCATGTAATGAAGCGACTCTCACACTCCCTCCCACAAACTGGTGCCACTAATTACTGGTGCCTATAATTAGTATAGGGAACGAGAGGGACATCACTAAGAGTACACCCACTAGGATCCAGGCACCCACTACATGCACCAGTCGCTCGCACCAGTCAGTCGCCACAGCGTCCATCGGTCCGACATCGTCTGAGTGCCTTCGTCGATTTCTTCGACTCCCGGCTTTTACTTCGTTTCGAGCTCCTCAGCTCCAGCATGGAGCAGCGTATGGCAGCGTCCGACATGGATGTTCCCAGCAAGTCAGTCAAACCATGGGATTCGTTGGGGGGGGGCAAGCTTGTTGACTCTGGCCAAGCGGGTGGTGAGAGATTCTCATGTGATCAGAATGTATCCTAGCTTGTTGATGCTTGTTGGACTAATGGATCTGGATAAGATGTCCCCTAGGTGACTCGTGCAAATAAAGCTCCTCTGTAAAGGGTCCCGGACATGGAGAGGTGCATGTGGAAAGGCATTGTCAGAAGGTGATTTTTCCCGGGTGGAGGCTGCTGGCAAATGGATCTGCATGTCATTCTGAAATATTGCAGGTCGGACCATGGCAGGGGTCCGGGTTCTCAACACCCTATGTGTTTGAGGGTCCGGATTCTTAGGGTATATAAAATATAATATGAAAGATCATGAAAGGAGATGAAAGGAGATAAGGAGGGCGTGGAACACATCCGTGGAGCCCTCAAAAGTTTGCTTGTCACCTGAATGGTTCTTTGCCAGCTTGACGAAAATACCTGGCCGTAGAGAAATCCATGGAAATTCCTGATAGTGGAGGTGGCACACCTGGAACATGCCAAGAGTGGAAAGAAGCTATCAGGGTGGAAAAGGCCGGGTGCCTACGAACCTAGCAAGGAACTAAGATCAACCGTTCAACCTAGCAGCTAGCATATATGGCCCTCCCTGGATGCCAAAGGAGAGGGCGATGCCGCGAGTAGCCGTGGCCAGCCGGACACTGGACGCGTCCAAGTGGCACGCTCAGGTCGTCGTCTGTCCTCGAAGGCGACTCCATGCCCTCGTGATCCTGGTCCTCCTGGGGTGTGCCGTGCCCATGACCGCCAATCACCGCAAACATGATCCACATGCCCATCTGCCCGGCCGGTAGGTAAGCCGTGTGGAGTCCTTAGGAGGGTGGGTCGAACTAGGACGTCCCCTGACTGTCAACTACACCCATTGGACGGTCAAATCCTTCAGGTCTGCGACCCTTCAGTCCGGCTAAGTCGGGGGTCACGTCACCCGGTCAGACCGGGTGACTTGGCCCAGCAGCATGTTGCAGCGAGTTCCGGACTCGATCGGAGAGGCTCTTGGACTCACCTGCCACCTCAAGAACTCAACATCCCAAACAGGGTAACACCCTGAAGAATGCCAAAGCGATGGCTGACTCTTTTGGGGATTAACCATAGTTAACCTCGGGTATTAACCTCTTCAGATGCTCGCAGCTGTCAATTTTTGCTCGATGCGGCTCCTTAACACAACATAACACCCGTCCATTTTGAACGTTTTGACTCTCGATCTTTGATTTATAGACCGTCACATGAGTACACCGGGTACAGCCACTACACCCACGACATCCACCATGGGGCCGTTACCTGGACCCTCAAAAGGTCTCCGTCCTCTGCTTTGGAGGTCCAGGGTGTCTATGCGTGTCTCATCAGCAGCGTTTTGAGGTTTGGTCCAAAAACATGGCCACCCAGAAGGACCGCCATACAGGGGAATTCCGGAAGCAGCAAGCTCTGTCCTCGGCAAACTCGGCTTTCTCACCTGTCCACTTTCAAAGCTCCCACCGCATGCGGAAAAAAACAAACACTGACCCTAGGCTGACCATCCTACACCAACATGGACAAGATCGTGCATGGTGTTCAGCGTTGATTCCTAGGCGCTGAACACATGTAGAACTCCACTGCCGGAGGGCTCTGGATGCGCTGACCGTGTCTCCAGTGGCCTGAGTCCGCCATACCGGGGCGACCATGCGCAGGCGCGTGCGCACCGTGGGCACCGTGGCAAAGCTGCACCCTCTGTGTTCTTGGGTTATATGAGTCTGATATGAGCTATCATCCCCATCTAATCTATCCTTTTGTCAGTCTTATCATAGTCTATCTCATTCTATCTCTATATATCATCTGTCGATCAACACACCCTCATGGCTCCACGGTTTCCGTGGAGCGTCGAATTTCCAACTTCATTGGAGCGATCCAGCCTTTGAAGTGCATTGTTCTTAGGTTTCGGACCAGCAAACAGCAAACACACGTACCAGCATCGGTTGTTGGGCCCTAACAGGGATGACCTGGCAGTGAGGATGCTGCTACTTCTCGTACTTCATGTTCTACTGGCATCTTGCATCTTCGATCTGAATCGCTTGAGCACCGGCGGGGTCGGCGCGCAACCGACTGCCTGGGGACTTGAGGCTGCTCCCCGAATCCTTGCGTCAGGCACCGGAACACCTGGTGGTAAAGGACAGTGGTCATCCATTGGTCCATGATGATTCCAGGGTGTACTGAGTGTACTGGCACCCGATCTTGTCCCAAAACTTCGGTGAACTCTTCTGTTTCGCATGGCAGTCCTGTCCAACATGAAGTGCGGGGCGAGTTCCGTGAAGAACCACGGGTCCGTGTCCAAATTTGGAGGCCACAAAGCGTTCGCCACCTTTCCCCAGCCATACTGTTTCAAACGCCTAACTGTCCTAAGTGGCCCGTGGGCTCTCACAGCCACCTCCTCTCTCCGTCCCTCCGGGCTCTCCGGGCGCACCGTGCGGTCGGCACCATGATGCGTGGAGGCGGCTGCCTGGGCAGTCTACAGCAGCTTCACAGCTTGAACTCCAACTGACACACACACACACACCATCATGTTGGACGACCGTGGAAGACACAAAAAGAATGATCACACTCAGAGTTTGGAGATGTCCAGCTTCTGTGTGCCTGGACCATCCTATGGGTGCCTGTTCTCGACCTTTTTCAGCGCTCAATTTCGTGAGAGAGAGAGAGAGAAGAGAGGGGCATTGCGATGAATCTTGCAGGAGGACAACTCTTGAAATCTGCGCTGTCTACCTACTTGTCTACTCCAAGTCTACTTGCATGCTCCCATTGGATCGCTCAATGGTTGAGCCTGAAAACAAAGACAACAACTGAGCAACATCCGCAGCAAAAAATGATGCCGAACCCCACGTATGCCCACCAAATCACAAGGTCTAAGTAGAACATGATCATGGCTCGTATGCTGCTCGGCGCCAAGTATTCCAGCCCTCACCCCCCACACCGCACATGGCAGCCGGAACCGGGGAAGGTGATGCCTTGGCATCCGGTCCGTCACGGAACCGATCATTCCTGGCATCTAGAAGCACTAAAACATCCTCCAACCATGTATGGGCCTGTAGCTCAAATAGGCAGACCTCCCAGGCGTAACCCGCCTGCCTGGAAGAAGGCAAAACCGACCAGTCGACCCATTGGTTCGGGATCTCCCTCTAAAAATGCACATACGCTCCCTGGAAATAACATGGAAGTGGAAAACCACTTGTTTGTAGTGGAAAATGGTCTTCCAAGGGGCGATTCTCCACTTCCATGTTAGTTCCAGGGAGTGTAAGATTGGTAACCGGAAACACGCGGCCACTGTGCAACCCATGTCGCCCAATTTCATCCCCACTCGGCGTGACCATGATTGTGTACAAAAGTGGTGTATTTTGCTCCATGTCTTCCAGACTCGTCTCACATCAAAGCCAGAACATCCAGAACTCCTTAAAAACACCTGATGGTTTCCACTTTTTGGGGGGGCTCCAAACTCCTTAAGAAACCCACTGTGATGTTTCAAGCCTGGAGGCGGACTCTGCACGGTTCCACAGCCATGCCTGATTTGTGTGTAAACTAATAAGTGTCCAATGTTTGACCCATCCATCCATCCATCCATCCATCCGTCCATCTCCTGAGCTTCTGACCCATCGGGTTGACATGGGCCTGCCAAGCAAAATGTGCCAAACACAGGATCCTTGTAGGATATGCTATGGCAGTTGTGGCAGTTGTGCTCCTAAGCCACGCATGACACACAATGTTGTGTGAATTTGAATTCGAAGGGTTTGAGCAGAACCTATGGAGCTACAATTTCCTCTTCCAGCCCTTCCCGTGCGGGTTTTTGTGTTGTTTCTGTATGATGTGGGTCAGGTCCTTCTACTCTTTCTTGGGTGGACTCAACGGGAGTACCGCGTAAACGAGATGACCCAAAAAGCCTCGACGCAACAGCAACTCCTTTTCGAGTCATTCTGGAGCTCCAAGTGAGGTGAAACTTTCGGTGGCCACAAAGAAAGTGCTCCGTCTTCAAGACAGAACCTGGATTTGGTCATCCTGGTGTGCCAAAAAACACCTATAAAACAAGAGGTCTCAAAGGCATGGCATCAAACGACTAAAACACTTCTTCCTTTGACCATCTTTCAGGTCAACACCAACTCCCTGGTTCACGGGCTCTCCCTTTTCCGCCTCACCTTGAAGCCTCTGACCGCCTCACGATGATTGGCAAAGCCGGTGCACCCCTGTGTGGGCTCCGTTCCCCCCGGGCACTCGATGGCGGCTGGACACTCGACCGGCTCGGGCGCATGGTGCTCGGGCTGCCGGTGAGCGTGCTTCGCGCGCCTGGGCGGGTCTGCTCGGTGAGGGCCTTTTGCCGTGCCAAAGCGTTTTTGAGGCGTTCGACCTCATTCTTCGCAGAGATGGTCTGTGCTTGGATCCGGCGTGCCTCACTTAAGGCTTCTTGGAAAGCCGCTTGGAGCAACTCTGGATCTTCAGTGATTGTGGGCTTCTGCCTTTTCAAGCGCTCGAGCTTCTCATTGAAGGCATGGACCTTCACCAACTTCACCTGAAACCACTCCACCGTGCAGTGGCCCGACCATACCCGCTTGCTGGCCTTCTTGCTCTCACTGCTCTCCAAGTCCACGAAACCCAATGAAGGCGCGACAGCTTGGCAGGGCGCCAAATGAGCAGGCCATGAGGAGTGGGGCCCAGGAGTTAAGCTCTTGGACAACTTCTGGGTCACCTCGCTGCTCGTCTCCGCCAAGCGAGCATGTGCAATCTGAAGACACTCCCTCAGCATCTTCAAGACCTTGGGGCTTCTCGAATCCCTCTTCTCTTCGGGCCTCGTCCGCGTACGTCCGACCCGAAGCTTGGAGCTGGAAGGAGTGCCCGCCGCCCTCGTGGAGGCCCGCAGCTCTTGGAGGTCCAACTCCGATTTTTCCCGCAAGCTGGAGATGCGGCGACTGCGGCGCCTCTCCTTGGGCACCTGCCAGAAGGATCTGTTTCTTTTTTTTTTGCGGGGGGGGGAAGATCGATGGAACAAAGGAGTCAAACAAACAAAATTGCTGTTCAAACAACATTTCCATGTGAAGCATATGGTCCATGGTTTAACAACTATAGACCATCATAAACCAAGCACCTCGCTTCCCGCGCTAAAAAGGGATCATTCCAACCCGCAGAGTTTGGAGTCTCATGGAGTCTTGGTAACCCTGATTCAAACAGATTCAAGATCGAAAAAATAAGAAAAAACCGCGATTCCACACTCACGGATCTGTACCGTGTTGCTGAAACATGATAGATCATGTTCGATACTCCGTACCATGGGAGAAACCTGATGAGGTTAGATGAGGCTGGGTACACATGAAGCAGCTCTGACTACAACTTCTCACCGCTTCGCAGGACCGCTTAGCTCCGCGCGCGCCTCCAATTGGAAGTCTGCTGGATCCACTTGAGACCGGGGCGTCTCCTCCTCGCGCTCGGCGGCCTTCCGGACCAGGATGTTGGAGGCCCGGGTCCAGTCTCCCAGCAGTGAGTCGCTGATGACGGAGTTCAAGGACATGACGCCGCTGCCTCGGCGCAGCACCGAGGGCCGCTGAACGACTCCAACCGTCGCGGCGGAGTCTCGGGCGGATAACGGGCGTCGATCGGGGCGGGGGAGAGGTCGCATCAGCGGAATGAACACTTGGAAGAGCTTTTTTGGGAACCGTTCTTCCAACACTGATTATTATACTGTATAAACAAAGTGGATCCTCAGAAGTCCCAAAACAACATCCAAAAGGATTGTGCCGGAACCTTCCAACAAATTCGTTTGAGGACAACACTTAAACGTCTATAGCTCCCCGTGGCCCAAAAGCATCCAACATCTATTGGAAGGTCCAGGTGGGTTGAATTTTCTGAGGCACCATGGCTTTTCCCCGTTGTAGTCGCGGCGCGGCGAGTCGCTTGCAGCTCTGGAATCAAACTCACCACGCGTCGAGTGATGCGGTTGAGTGCACCAAGCTTAGCATGTCTATTGGGTATCAATTGTTCGTGGATCAGGTGGATCATGGTTGATCTTGAGCGCTTGGTGAGACGATGTCTACCTGACCTATGTGTGAAGGCTCCTACTGTGCAACAATCTTGCATATCTTGCATGCTACGGGTCTAGTCTAGCACCTCAAGCAGGACAGTGCGACTCTCAGTTGGGCCGCGACTTGTGAAGCACAATGCAGTGACTGCGCGTGGCATCTTTGATGGTACCCCGGTACCTCCCAAGCCAAGCCGAATAATTCCAACGGCCTTGTGGGCATCATGTCTTTTTCAATTGATACTCTCAACTTTGGTTCCAGTGAGAGACTCTCAATCATGTGCTCCAGTACTGTGGCCCGGCATAGAAGCCAAGTGAGTCCCAAACGGATGGAAACAATGGGAACAATAGAACATAATAAAGGAACCTGGACATGCATTGGATGTCCTGGAACGAATTCCCTGACAAAAGTGGATCTTGAATCTTGAACCTATCAAGGGTATGAGCCGCCGACCTCGCACCACACTCATCCCACGCCTAGGAGACCGGCCACGATCAGCCTTGGAAAGGGAAGCGCTGAGTTCCCTGTTTGCTGAGGTTGTGACCAGCCCACATGGTAATGTATGGTAATGTCATGCGATATCAACGTGACAAGACTATTGCTCTCAGTCTTGTTCCACAAGCCTAAAGCTGATACTGTCATAGAGCGTCAAAGAAGCAAGCTCAGTTGCTCAAACCCACATAAGCCCTGAGCAGGCCCTCCACAATGCCCGAAACCTCCAGGAGAACCTTTGATGAGCCTGGAAAATCGGCATAGTATATAACTAAGATCTAGGAACATATCATTATATACATCTATATATATATACACATATATAATTATATAATTGCAAACGGATGCAAACGGGTTGTGGCCAACCTCGGGTGGGGCACACACCTGTCCTGCCATCTTAGTTGGACATTGGAACACCTGGCCTGCAACCTCGTTCAGCCTCCACGCCAGGACCTCACCCTCTGACCAGCAATTTTGTCACCTAGCAAGGCCTATTTGCATCAGCAGCTCCTCAGAAAAAAAGGACAACACCACCCACCAGCAGCAGCAGCAACAGCAGCAACAACCAACAACAACAACAACGACTACTACAACAACAACAACTACTACTGCTGCTGCTGCTGCTACTGCTACTGCTACTGCTACTACTGCTACTACTGCTACTACTGCTACAGCTACTACTACCACCACGACCACGACCACGACCACGACCACCACCACGACCACGACCACGACCACGACCACGACCACTACCACTACCACTACCACCACCACCACCACCACGACGACTACTACTACTACTACTACTACTACCGCCACTACCACTACCACTACAACTAACAACAAGAAAAACAAAACAAAGAACAGTCCCTCCTGCAGCACCTCTTTTGGCCCTCAACTCGCTCGCCGCTTCGCTCGCCGATCTTCAGCGTTCCTCGTCCCTCTTCGCGGTGCTCGTGGGTGGGCGGCGTAGCCGGAGAGATCACCACATTCGCCAGTCGTCCAGGCAGTTCGCCTCGTTTTGTTGGGGTGTATGCCAGTGATGGCCCAGCTTCCAGCGTCCAGCTTCTTCCATGATGCGATGGCACAAGGTTAGGTCATTTTCTCTAAGATGCAGCTCCAGCTTCCCCTTGTTTTGCGATCATCTCTCTCACGTTGAGGTTGTCCAATGGGCAGGTGGCCTTCACTGCCATCCAGCGATCGATACAAGCCTTGTGGAAATAATGTAAGCACGGCAGCCGTCGGACCTCCTCCCCTCGGCGTGTTGGTGACAATGAAAGGTATGAAACACTTGAACACATAAGGCCATACTTTGAGCATCTTCGAGTAACGAGTGGTCCATGAATAGCGATAGAAAGGGTGTCCAAAAACCAAATCAAACAAGCATTAGATCAGCAAGGTCTCCAAGCACCATGTCCTCATAGCACACGGCGCAGGGCTCAGCACAGTGCGACTCCAGTCGTTGGCATGGGACTAAATCCATGAGATTGTCCACCTTGGCAAGTGATCTGCAGCAAGCTCCAACAGTGAACATAAAAGGACCTAGCCTAATACAAAGGAACTCAACAAACAGGAAAACTAAACTATAGCAACAATAAAATGCAAAGACATCAACGGAACAAATGCTGACATTGATGAAGAGACCAAGCAACCAATCAAACAAGCAGCTCCTCAATCATATACAGTCAAAAACACGCACATCTGTGTTATCTGCTCCCCCAAAAAATCCTCTGAACATTGCCTAGGAGCTACTGCTTCATGCCTTCCCCAGGTCTCTTCCACCAGTTCCTCACTGCCAGCGCGCTCCAGTTGCGCATCGATCACCGCCCAGCGCGCCTCGAGCGCCGCATGCAGCGGCGAGCGCTGCGCGCTGCGGCGCGCCGCCCGCGCCGCGAGGCCGGGCCGCGAGGCCGCAGAGGAGGTGACCACGGGGAGCGGCACATGGACCATCGACCAGGTGAGACCGGTCGCCTCCTGCGAAGTGCGGACGAGAAGGTGGTCACGGATGGCAAGGACGACGGTGGTGATGGTCTGGAGTTGGGAAGGAGAAGGTGGTCGGAGGGGGCAGCTTCGGCCGAAAAGGCTGGAAATGAAGAAATGGACAGGAAACCATTGAAACCATGTTAAAAACATTAATGGGCTCCTTTAACATCTTTTCATTAGAATGCTTTTGTTTGAGCTCAGTGGAAGAATCAACTGCCAAGATTGCGGATTTTTCCCAACATCGATCAACCCACAATGACTTAATAATGCAATGTCCCATCTGCTCCGCCTCGGCTCTGAGTTGACACTGCCATGGCTTGGTCGCCTGAAGCTGCGGGGGCGCCTGACCAGGCCAGCGTGCCTCAGTGTGGCGTGCGTGGAGGGCCGCCAACTCCTCCAGGACCCGCGCACGAACCTGACGCGAAGGTGTGGATGGCGTGGCCATGGCCTGTCAAACCACACGTCGTGGGGATCGGAATCGCTTCACTCGGATGGAGTGGGTGTCCGTCGCCATTCCGGACTCCCAGCAGTTCCAAGTGCATCCTGGTATCACACCATCGAGCCTAGCAACACACCATAATATATACCAGTTGAGCTGAACAAGAAATTGCCAACCTATGGGTCAAGTCACGCATGTCCCAGTCACGCGATCCTCCCTGTCGGTTTCTTCACATGTCTGCGAGAAAGGAAATCCATTCCCTAGACTGCAAAACATGGTTGACCTGGTTTTTGTAGAGTAAAATCCTTAAGTTGATTTGGTGAATTAAATTAATTAATGGTTGTTGGAAGCCTAGGGATTCAAACCATGCTACGACCTCATCTTCAGGCCACCGCCGCGAAGCCGTACGTACGGAGTGGCGACCCTGTATTGCCTGTAACCAGACGGTTTGATACGCTGCTCCCTTAGGGTTTCGGGTTCCAATGAACCGAACACGCGCGAGATACACACGCGTTGTCCCTGCAATCAAGTAAATGATTCCCCACGTTTATCGGTTTGCCAATGCTCACCCCATGTCCAGAATCCCCACACAATCCCCACACGACACAAAAACACAGAAAGTGATTCAACGACTGCAGCGGCTCGCCCGGCCTGATCTTGCAGCTCTGAATCAAAGGCCACGCTCTCCAACAAGGTCACTTCGAAGTTCCCTCGACGCAAACATCTGGGCGCGTGCATCCACAAAGCCTCAGAGGCCTCCTCGGTGGAAGACCTCAGCGCGTGGCGGTGCATGACAAGGGCTTTGTTAACCGCGTGCACTCCTCAATCTTATGTTCAACTATGTTGATATTCTACATATTGGATTACATACAATAAAGAACGGCGGCTCTTCCGACAAGCTCGACGAACCCCTCCGCGCAAACAAAAGCAAGCGTATTGAGATGCACAAACTGCTGAGCCCCTCTTTGGGCTTGGATTCCACCAAATCACATGGCACCATCCCCGAAACACGGCCAGCCAAACGCGGCACAGAAACTGCAAGAGAACACCGAGTCGGAGTTGCCCAGGAAGGAAGAACTCGCGGCAAGCCATGCAACATCTGGCTACATCGCCATACTCAAAGGTGTGCACGTAGAAGCTGGGCAATGCTGGCATCTCCGCCGGCGACTCCAAATCCACCACATCATCCGCGGTCCCCGCGGCCACTGCCGCGGAGGCTCTGGACCGTGACCTGGATCGCTGTCTGGGAGACGGTGCAGGACTGGCAGGTGCGACCAGCGCGAGGTCATCCTGCAGCGATGTCAGGAGCGAAGATCCCTCGGATCGCTGAGTCTTCTCAGTGTAAACAAGATTAGGAATGCCCGGCACCTGAGGGTGATACATGGTCTTTGGAGATGCTGGTGGGGTGTGGTGCATTAGAAGGAGTCTTTATATATCTTAACCACATGGAAGCAGGATGAAGGAAGGATGCACATGAATGGATTGCTAGTAGCAGACTAGTCCTACCGGTGAGGGTGACGGTTCATGGCCTCGAACTGGGTCACTCAAAGGCCGCCCACTTCCATCTGACCCACCCCCAACCTCACCAGAACGACCAACAACTGTTCAGAAGTCCGGTGGGTTGATGGATCCCGGTCTTCCAAGGGGTTGCCACCTTCGGGCCATCCCAACATCCCCACCAGACTGCGGACGGCCCATCAGGCCAGGGGTGGTTGAAAGGAGTCGTTCAGGGATTTCTCGGCATCAAACTGGATGATCGACAGCCCAACTCCTCGTCACTGGAGATCACATCTGCTACTGCCGTCTCCTCCAAGTCGGCCTCTTCGAGCTGCACCAGTGCGTCACCCACTCGTGCGGCAGCGGCGTTTTGCGCTAAACGCCTCTGCCTTGGAACTAAGGGAGTGGGGCATGGTTTCAGGGCCAGCTCTCAGCGGTGGAATAAAGGGTCATAAAATGTCATAAAAGAATGGTTCATGATCAAAATTCAATTGTTCTGCACCAAGAAACGGAAATTATACGGAATTTCCCTTTTGCTCACAATTCGAGAGCCCGAATCCAGTGTGGTTGGGGAACACTTTTAAAAGGACAAATCAGTTGGGGAAGCTGTGGGCACATCGCTTATACCGCTTGTACCCAAGAAAGGCGATTGAATTGCCAACTTCCCAATCACACCGTCTTCGATTTCTCATCTGCAAACTTCTGCTCAACGTTTCAATTCTTCTAGGAAGCATGAACTTTGCGTGCATTCACGGTAGAAAAGAGTGCTACGTACTGCTACTGCAAGCACCGAGATAATTGCCATTTCCTTGCATCGCTACTAGAATCGCTAAGACTAATTTTTGGTGGATGATGCTGTGCAGAACAATGGTTGTAATTACAATGTAATTACATATATCTCGGAATATCTCGGTAGCCCTCCAATTTTCATCTAACCACGCAATAGGTGCAAGTCACAAAGTTCGGATTTTCAGGTGTTGGTTTCCAATAATGTGTCTATTTCATTTCAATGCCCCATCCTACTCCTCCTACTCCACACCAGACATCTGCTCCAAGCAGCGCCCGCTGTGCCAACTGCACTTCCAGCACTTCCAGCTCATGGCCCCCGGTGCGCGGGGGCAGGTCCGGTCCATAGGTCGGCGTTTCCCCCACGTCCACGTCCATGGCAGCACACCCGATGGACACGACACGTCCGGTTGCGGAGAAATCCAGGAACCATAAAGGAACCCATGTCAGGTATAGGATGAATCATTCATCTGACGGAATTGGCATCCGGATTTGCTGGAATTTCGATGCAGCCCCAAAAACACGTAGAACATAGGGTCGATTCAATTTCAGTGTGCTGCGGACTTTTCGGGGGGCCTGCGAACTTTTCAGACACACACCACGACGACTTATTGGAATCCACTCCAACCTCGAATCATTGGCTCTCTACTTTGCCAAACGTGGGTTCGGCTGCGCAACATAAAATGTACGTCTCGCATAGTTGTGTAAGTGTCGGCAGTGTGATAGTACTGCGTAACATATAACGCAAAACTATATATTTCCAGTTTCTAGACCATCCGACTGGTGTTGTTTGGATACTTCTGGGCCCTAGCGGTGCTTCGCGGCTTTTAGAGCCACACACTTGGAAGCATGATGTTTTGATAGTCTTTTGATGTCTTCTGCGATACATGTTGCACCAGACGTCTTGCAGCTGCTTAGAAGTGCGTAGAAGTGGAGTCCGAAAACCATCAAGCCCGAAATGCACCAAAAGCTGGGCGTTTGCCTGCTGCTGATCGCCTTCAAAAGCTTTTGTTTGGCAATCCCTTTCCTCAGAACTTGGACTTCCTAATATGATCTAACATGGCACAACCTCCTGCCTTGCGAGAAAAAGTTTGCCACTCACCCTTGTAGATCACACCGCCACATGAACCAAAAGGGTTAGCTTGGGTTAGCTGGGGATGGGGAAATGGCGTTAAGCATGTCAAAGCTTGTTAAACTTCTTGGACAAGTCAAAGTCTGGCAAATGTATGTTCCTAGAGTGTCAAGTCGTCCATCAATCGCCCAATGGCAGCCAGGTGAAACACCTACCGAATTCACCAAATTCCGAACAAACAACAACACCCCACCAACTCTCTCCACCGCTCCACCGTGACGTGGCAGCTTCGGTTGGGGCAGGAGAACCCGGTTGGGACCGCGTTGGGCAACAGGTCAAAGATCCAACTCTTTAAACATCTCTGGCGAGCTTCTTGAAGGTTCTGAAGGCCAATTTCTCAAAGATGTGGGCCCAAAAAACATGTGTGTGCGCTGTTCGATTGGATCGGCTTGGTCCCAAAATAGCGTTCGCCAACGTGCACCCATGTGTCGCCACTGATTTGAAGTACAGTACAGGTTGGCTTTCAAAGGCCACTGCCTCTCGGCACATTCTCCGCCTTTGCGCCTTCCATTGATTGGCTGGAGTCGAGTCTTCCCGCTAAGAGGTCAAGCCTACTTGGTGAAGGCGGCCCCATACAGCCCTTCTCTCCACAGACTAGGTCCTTCTTCTGTACCACGAAGCAACATCGATCCCAACTCCGAGCTCAATCAACACACACGCATCCCTAAGCAGTTTGGCTCCTCACTTTGAGTTGGCCCTCCTTGCGTCGCTCCTTCCCACCACGGAAAACCCATTTTTCGATGTGACCGGCGCGGTGTCGCTGCGCTCAGGCGATGCGCTGGAAGATGTGGATCCCCATCTCCGACGTCGCCAAGTCACCTCTGAGCGGACCCGCGAAGAGCGGCTTGAGCGGAGCTGCGGTCAAAGAACCATGGAAGAAGATCAAACCCGAACCTAATCGATGAAATGAATTGGAACATGGATGCTGATGCACGCCAGTTTTAGATGTCTTTTTTAGCATGATGGCTTGAATGGCATCTATATGTTCCAAACGGCTAGGCCTACCCACACAAATGTCGCAAAATCAATTCCCAGTCCGGCTTCTTGTTTCGGCAGAATCAACGGCCACCCACACGAGTGCAAGACCAAATCAACAAAGCCGAAGCCCGTCTCTCTTGAGTTGAGCGTCTTTTTTCAGGAGCATCTGCAACATCTGCAAATCATAATATAATTGCATATAATATAATATGTAGTAATTATATTACAATTTACAATGGTGTCAGAATAGATTGCACAAACCAACAAATGTCCTTTATATGGGAGTCCATGTTCACCGTATTAACCATACTCTCTCTCCCTCTCTCTCTCTGAAACCACTGTGCAAATACTGGCTAGCACACCAGCATCGTAAAGTTCATCAACGCTCGCCCAGGGTCTTAGTAGAGATGCTCTTGGTTACTAGTAGCTTCTTGCCACTTATATAGTAGTAATGTGAGGAGCTACTAATAGCTTGTTCCTAGTAGCGATGCCCTTTGTTCCTAGCGTCCTTGTTACCACCTCAGTGCCGGCACCGAAAACGGGTCCCTCCAAGTGGCTCCACTGTCCAGGGTTCAGCATCTTGGCTGCCTACGGCGTTCGTGTGACGAAAAACCGCGATGGTTTTCGAACCGCACGTGACCAAACATGGAAACACATGCTCATGCAAAACCACAACAAATCAATCTATTTGATTCTATTTGTATCTATTTGTTGATTTGTTCATTCTGTTCCCTCTTCAAGCCTTTCTTTTCAGACTCTGTCCACATCCAGGTCCTTCTCTTTGAACCCGCGAATCACACTCGGCTCGGCGCAGTCGACTATCGATCGCCACCAGGTTGATCGATGTCGACCGAGTGGAGCAAGCGGACCGAGCGGCGCCTCGCCTCCGAGAAGGCAGGTCCAAATCGGCTCTTGAGCTCATCCGGCTGCAGCCAACCCAGGTCCCCGATCCTAAAGACGGGGTGAGACATCGGCGCGAGGAGCTGAAGAGGAGCTGAACAAATGGCTTTCGCAATTGGGATATTTTGGAATGTGGTTTTCTTCCTCCATCTGAATCTGTACTTTCTAAATCATCTCAAAAATCTTGAATTCAATTCATATCTATTCAACATTCCTTGAAGGGGTAGTTTGTTTGCTTCTACCTCGACAGCTCGCAAAACCCGGTCGGGCACCTCCCAGCCTTCTTTCCCTTCAGCCCAGGGACATGCCGCCACCCTTCTGCGCTGTGTTGCATTCGGAGAGCTCCTGATGGCACCAGCGTGGGGATCATTGACTTCCAGCTACTGGTGGGGATCATTGGCCTTGGACATGGCCCCAATCCTGTCACAGTGGACGATGATTGCCTTTACTGAAGAATATAGTTATGGCCAGCCACACGCCGCCACTATTGCAGCAAATCAGCCCAAAGTAATCAGCCCCTGAATATTGGGTTTGCTGTTTCACGGGGTGATTCAAGTGAGGACCTTCTGTGTTGAACACCGCGGCTGAACCAGCTAAGCTAAGCTTGTCGACCTAAGTTATGAGTCGTGAGACATTTCTCAAAAACTGTGGGTGTGTGACCCTGGCTACTGAAACATCTGACCTCTTCAAGTCATTCTTGATGTTCAGAACCACTCTGAAGGACTCCACCAGCACCCTAAAGCTCTCACGTGATAAATCATGCACCTTCAAACATTCCAACGTACACCGTAAACGTCTCGCTGCTGTTTGCGTTGCAGAATGCTTGCTTCTCATATCGAGGCCCGGACGAGGCCGGGAGCTTCTCAAAACAGAAACCAACACTTCAGCCATCTCTCACTCACTCACTCACTCACTCACTCACTCTCTCTCAAATAGAAAACACCTGGCCGCGGGCGCCTTGCACAGGGAGGTGAACTTGGGTGTCGGCTGGAAGGCTGCCGCGCTGGGCTTTTTGCCCGCCGGGAGCTTGATGGTCTTGGCCTGGAGACCAAGGCAGACCGAAACAGGTGGATTTTCCCCACACAAAACCGACCACTATGACCACTGGTGGCGGTGGATTCCAAACTGAACCAGGAAGATGTGCAGTTTGCGGGGTGGTTTTCTCCAAACGACCAAAATACAGTTCTTTACATGGATCTCAAACGGGCTGTCACACCAAACGGGCTCACCGTAGGGGTCACGGTGTAAAGTGATGGTTGTGTAGGTGAATCACGTTGAATCAAATTGCCGGCGACCAATTGATCTGGGTTTGTACAAACATCAATTTCTATTCAATCTGGACAAACAACTCCAATTTTGCCCTTAACAAAGGAGCCCCCAAGTGACATCCTCGTGCTTTTGCCCCCAGAATGGTTCCCAGCTCATGGCACCTTCCACTGGTTCGTTGGCCATGCTTCAGAAACAACCAGGGACCAAGAACACATGAACACATCTGAGTCATCTGACTGAGTCATCCAGGTTCTGTTTTGTTGCAAATGATCGCGACTTCACGCGAACTTATCCAACAACTGCACAAAGTGGCATCACTGGAAGACGCTGGTGCAAACGCTTGGTTTCCAAAAACGGGCCTCTAGAATCAACTCCTGCAGCGCTTGCCGCAAGATCGCCTCTGCCTCCTGCGACTCAAGTCTTTGTCACACGTTTGGGACAAGATCTCGTCTTGCCAAAACCTCTGACGAAAGAATGGTATTCACAAATAGTTTCAAGGCTGCCCCCCAGGCACTTTCACAAAGACACAAACAACACATAACAAAAACTGTAACTGTACAGGAACCAGCGCGATCCGGGGGAGGGGGGACGAAAGGGGGGACCCGGTCACCGGTCCAATCCGGGGGGCGGGGCCTTCAATTCGGGCATTGGAATCGGTTTGCCATGGTTTAGCAGGACCCACGTGATGTCACAATGACATGAACTCCAGGCACCAGAGTTTTCCAACCCAAGGTTTTGGGATGCATCCCTGTGGTGCACACACCAATGGCGCACGACACAAATGGCCCGGCAGAATTGAAAGGTATGACAACTACCTGTGGCGGTCAGTCAAACCCTGGTGAACAAGGGAATGAACTTGGTGTCACCCGCCCGGGCCTGTGGCTTTGGGTTGCTTTTGAAGTATAGTGGACCGTGGATTGAGAGTAGATGGCACAGACCCCAAGAGGTGGTTTATATGGACCCCCATCTAAAGGACATAGGGGTTTGTGCCATCTAATCTGAAACCACTGTAGGTAAGTAGTAGCATTAAAAAGTTACATTATATATATTTATATTTATAATATGCGAACGCTGACTTCTTGGCAACCCAACTGAACACCACCAACCAGCCGCGCCATTTCAAGATTTTCAAGTTCGTCATCAACGATCTTCCAGGTCAAAGCCGAAAATTACCCTGCCATTTTCTGGTCTATTTGGACGAGGCAAAGCGCTTGTTCCATTGTACTACTGGAAAACGACTGAGTTGCACTGGCATGGATTTGTTGAATTGCTTTTTCTTATGATCCTTCATGTGCAGGACAAGCGCCATAAAACATGAGCCTGAAGCAAATGAAATAACCTCTGTTAGGGATCATCGTGGGGCTCCCGGTCCCAATGTTAGATGCTCATCGACCCTGTCCAAAAAAATATATTGATTAATTATACTGCTTGAGTGATTATCTTACCCCAAAAAAACAAATCAAACACATAATTGGTGGGTTCTCTCCCCAAAACACCCTCCCTCCTTGTCCAACCAGTCCCCAGGCCTGTGCGCTTCTGCTCACTGGCACATTACGCACCGGATCGAAGGGTGAGCTGCAATCCTGGTGTCGGACCTCGCCGCATGTGGACGGCGGATGGCCATCAGGTGTGACGGAGGGCCATCAGGTGTGACACACGCGGGTTGCTGGACCCTCCTTAACCTCTAAGGGCCTATGAATGGAAGCTTTTGGCCAGGGTGTCGTCCTGGTTTATGGATCTACTGGCACCCTCTGAGGTACGGTGATTGAAGACACTGTCACTTGTAGCCTTGGAGGGTCCAAACACCGTACCTCAGGTGCTACTTGGATCCCCAGGGATCAATCATCGCTAAGGCGATGCCTTGTCCCATTGAGATCGCTGAGGGTTCTCCATCGTAGATCGCTGAGGGGAGATGGCCATCGACGGTTTTACATGACCCTGGGAGGCAAAGACTATCAACAGAATGGTCTTTAGGTGACCCGAAAAGGAATATGCTTTACTGTCAGTGGGGCCAAATATAGTCTTTGGACTTCTAGGGTTGGCTCACTTTTGACCTGAGATGTCAGGAAAGTCTGCCGGGGCCCTGAACCGAGTGCCTTCGGCCGGCCGGTCGGGGGTGATGTAGTACAACTCACTCAATTCACACACCAGAAGCTCTAGTGGCGTCTGTCGGACAAGGCTCACCGATGTTTTTATGGAACCAAACTCGAAGGGCCTGCATCATCCCAAAAGGCCACATGTTTTTATGTTTTTTCAGCAAAACCCGATCGCGCCGGTTGCACAAACTCTTTCTACCACGGTCGACCGTGACCGCATGACTGTCAGAGTCTGCATGCACTCCCCAATGCTTTAAAAGCAAACCGCAGCACCCCCAAAAAAACCTATGGCCCATGTTAAGTATACGCCGGCCACTGAGACATTGTGACTGGCAAAATGCCACGCATTAACACACAAGTATGCTGCCGTGCTCAGCTGTGGCTGATGTTTTCTAGTGGAAGGACATGTGCCGCAGCCAAGCTACCACGATGTGCCGCAGCCGGACGCTTTCCGCTTCCTGGCTGCTTTCAGCGGATGGGTTTTGAGGAGCTGGTTCTGGGAAGAGGCTGCAATTAGGTTCCATCAAATCTATTAGTTCATTCATTTCTATCCTAGCCGTCCTATGCTATACACAACGCCAGGATCCCCATGTGCGCAGGGCATGAGCACGGATTGGAGTTGGGTGGCTCCCCCTCGAAAGCGCCTTGTCGTTCGAAACATGGTAGACCATGCTAGGCCATGTTTCATGTACACACTTGGAAGTGGAATAATAACCTTTGCATGACGGTCATCGTTCAGCCGCTCACCCTCCGTGGCGCCACCGATCGCTGGTGGCCTTCTTCATCCGCTTGGCAGCAGGTTCTGCAATCAGCTTGTCGTCCTTGGGGACGAAGAAGGCCACGATGGTGGTACATTGCCTTAGAGAAGTCATGTAGACCCATTAATTCGGCATATCCCATCACCAGGGCCCGGTGGATGATGATGGTTAGGTTGCAGGCCTTTCTCAATAATAGATCTTTCACCGACTGTTACTGGTAATGGGCTATACCCCAACAAGCAGTTATATAATAAAATGTTCATTTGGATAGTGTACCCCATATGTAGGTCTTCTTAAGAGTCACAAGTCTACATTCGACGCAAATCCAAAGAATCGAATACGGATCCGAACTTGTCTGGGCTCGCGGGTCAGCACGTTGGATTAAATTTTAAATAGGACATATCGGCAAGTTTCTCTACCAACGCAAGAAGTCCACATATGCCTACATGAATCATAAGAATATTACCACAGCATTTGCACAGAACTTGCTAGAGTCGGTGACCCTCTCAAAACACACAATCCCCGCTTGTGCTCCAGCAAACTCATCAAGCCCACGCGGCCCACGCGGCCCACGTTGCTGTCTCACGTCTGTACATCCTGACCTCCCAAGGGGTTCATCTTTTCCACCAGTTCGATCGATCCAGCATGGGTTTCCCAATGGAAACCAAGCTAACCCGCAGTGCAAGGCTTCAAGCAGGGCGGACTTCAGTTTGCTCGCGAGGATGGAAAAGGGTTTCCGAAGTGTCCCCCAACAAAGATGAAAGGAGGTTAAAGCATATCTCCTGGGCAAGTGCAAGTCTCACGCCAGTTTGAAGTGTCACCTGGTTTCACACATGACATGGGTAAACTTGTCCATGCTCCACCCCAACAAAGTCGTGAACTGACTGGTGCTTCGAACTATACTAAATCCATCTAATTCCATTCCCTCATTCCCTACAGATCGCACTTGCCATCAGTGAAGTGTCCAAGCACTTTGGAGCACTTGCCACCCGCGCTGCGTGGCGACGCGCTGCGCGTTCGCCGAGCCGCGCTTGACCGTTCTGTGGCACGGTTGCCGCCCGGCTGGCGATTTCGCCGCTCGCCGCCTCGGAAGGCGGACTGGATCGAGGACCGGGAAGAAATGGGCGTCATGACAGGGACTTCTCATATCCTCCTTGAGCTACACCAGGTGGGGAGTCCCAGTAGGGTAGGCCGACAGGGATTTCGACCTTCTCAGTCCTTGTGTTTTTTGACCTTCGACTGGCATAGACCTGAACGTTTTGCAGGCTCACGGGCCTGTCAGTCTGCAACGAACCCCGTCACTCACGCCCTGTCTGACTCACGGTCTGGAGTTTCTCCTGTCTGACTCGTGCTGGAATCTCGTGCTGTCTGACTCATGGACAAATGTGATGGAAGTAATTCCAAAAGGAGTTCCTTCTCGCATGGAGTTCCCATGAGTTCCCATGTCTGCTACACGAAGGACTGTTATAGTACGCGAGCGTCTTCAACTCAAAAGAGTTCTAAACACCACTGGTAACAGGGAAACTCAACTGTGTACAACCCTTTGATTCATGCACCTTCATAATACACCACTAATTCATCAGCCCTTGGCCCTGCCCAGCTGCCCGTGGCTTCTGTTCGAAGTCTGCGATGGTCACAGAGGCCTGGAAGGGGCCGTGGTGGAATTCAGGACGTGATCGAAGCATGTCATCCATCTTGGCGCCGGATGCTAAGTCTGGAGCAACGTACATTTACTTCCTACAATGCTGGATGCGTTGTATATATATATACGTATATATTAAATGTATATATATATATATGTAATATGTATATATATATATTGTAATAAAAACTAGTTAGGGAAGTACGTGTCATCATGGGTCTTCTCTTTCAGGGCCTACCGGGTATACCCGCCTCCCTTCTTTTCTCCCTCTCTCCCTCCGCTCCGCGCTGTTCGCGGGGTCTCCCCGCTCCGCAGCGCGCTCGCCTGGTCGGTGGGGATCTGCGAGACGGGCGCCGAGGTCAACATCAACGCGACGTGGCGTTCCGCCCAGGAGAGGTCCTCGGTGTTCGCTTCGGTTCCGCATCGGTCCGGTGGGTCCTCGGACGGTCCGAACCGGTCGGGCGGTGTGGGCGGGACAGGGCACTGGGAAAAGAAAACGAATTGCATGAAAGCATTGTGAAGTCATCTGATGCCAAGCATCTAGCAACGATGGGGTGCGGCACAACATAATATGTTTATAGTAGGATCTAATGAAATGTGATCTATATATTGCTTGTTGATGTTCCTGAATCTCCCTAACTGCCTTCACTGCCCCTGCCCGCCTGCCCAAACCTCTGTCTTCCCAGACCAGTACTCCCAGCTCCAAGCGACTGTGTAGCGGGTCTCGGGGACGGACCGTACCAGCTTTAAGCTGCCAGGGAGTCCTCCCATGGATCCTTTCCAGGCGCGATCGCCGATGGACCTTGCCGCGGTCGAACTGCAGTCCAGGCAGGGCAGCTCCGGGCCTATTTTGTGATTCTCAGGGTGAAGATGGGCGAGGAACCAATGCAAGATAGGCCCGGTTCTTCAGTGGTTCTCATTGATTCTTCAATGTTTTTTGCAGTGCAAAGTGAGAGAAACAAACATGGAAGAATCAAACGTTGAAGAAGAGTGCAACATGTCCAATTGCATAGTGCACGACGTCCCGGGCACTCCATGTATGGAATATATATATATATGCCTATGCAGCGCCTATGCATTGAACATCATTGAACCCTGAACCCACCCCAATGAATGTATTTGATGCCATACATGGAGTCTCTGCGTATGAGCAATGGAAGACTCCAGGTGATAATCCAATTCCCTGCCGCTACCCCGGGGCCTGGAGACGGCGGTGGTGTGCCCTTGCGGGTTGCTGGTCATCAGCTTGCCGTTCTCGCCCGGGAAGACCATGCCACCGTTATCCACCAAGAACTTCCTGAGAGAAGTTAAAGTCAAGAAGTCACGAACTTCCTTGAGTCGCTTCCACCAAGAACTTCCGGGCCCAGCTTGTTTTGCTGGATGATGCATTACGTGTCCGTAGACGTGCTGTTTTTCTCTCTGTCTTCATGGAGGGAACGAGGAAAACAACCACTAAGGGTGTTCTAAGTTCTCTCTGTGTTGCACCACTGCGATATGTGAAACCTCGCATGCGTCGGATCACCACCACGATCACCCATGTGTGAAGACTCTCCAAGCAGGGAAGTCTCAAAGCCTCCTTGTCTGCAGAAGCACGTTTAAAGCGCAAGATGGGACAGTATAAAGATGGCCTACATGGAAAAGGACGGTGTCTTGATGTGTCTTGTTGCCGACTGGGACCAGGCTTTTACGGATCCTCATGGGTGCGGAATCAACAAGCTCTTGAAAGGGCAACTCCTCATACGACCCCTCATGTTGTTCCTTTCGCTTGGCGCCACAGCGGCCTCACTAGCTGCTAGTCAGAATAACGTCGCCGCTTTTCTCAGAAGGATTGCTCAGAAGCTACACCCAGATCTTATGCTGGAGTGCTCATCATGGGCGGCCCAAATTGGCGGATCGGGTGAGCACGGTGGACATCGGTGGACCCCCGAGTCTCCGGCCCGTCGAGACCACGGCTTTCCTACAAAGCCCCGTAACGGTATGGAAAAGCACCATCCGACACCAAGCAACATTGGCATTGACTATTCAATTCAAATTACAACATGAACATAAAAAGGGCTAGTACTAGTACATGTCTTATCCTCAATGAAACTTCACTCGAACTTAGGAGCTTTTGCTCCTACCGACTGCCAGATTCAAAGGTCACTGTCTAGTTTTGTCCAACGGTTTGTCTTGCAGGTTGCGAGGTCATGGAGAGCTACCTTGGCACCTGTTGGAGAACATTTTCTCCAGCACAGCAACCAAGAAAAACAAAAGCACACTGGCCAACATGGTGAAGAATCCAGGAGATTTGCCATGCTGGTTGCTCCGCTCCGAACACTCTGACATACAAGTGGCTCAAGTATGTTCAAATGAAATATGCTCAAACATATAGATGCTCACATTCAAATCCTGTACCACAATTTTAGTAGTTATATAGTCTAAAACTTCAATAACAGGTTGGGGCAACCCCAGGGCCGTGGGCCTTGGCCGACACACATTCGCCCGTCCTCCTGCCACCTCCCTCACCCCCTTGATGATGAGAGAACACAGGTACAACATGTCTTGATCAATCAAACAGAAACCGTCTCCAGGATGGTCCCATATCTCCATGTTGACTAAGTATGTGTGATGTCCTGAGGTTCCTTCGAACTCTAGGTGCCCAGGGGGTTCCAAACCGGACCCATGGCAAATACCCAAACAAACACCGTTGTGTGCCATACTGCTCAGGTCCAGAAGAATGTGTGAACCATTGCGAACCAACAGGTCTCCAAAAGAAACTCTCTTTAACGATTGATTTGTGATGGCTTGGCTCAAAGCGAGACAAACGTACATGAAACATAGACATATTGGCTGTCAAGACATCCCAAAATGCACCGATTCCTCTGTAAGACATGTCAACCTCAACCGCCCATGGTTTGGTGAGGGAGGTCAACGCCAATCGTTGCGATGTGGATCACTCCACCGGTCTCAGCGTGGCATCAGCCTGACCGCTCTCAGCCTGACCGGCGACCCGCGTGTCGTCGCCATTGGCCGAGCAGAGCCGAGCAGTGGAACGGGCGGTTTGGAACGGGGCGGTGGAACGCGCAGTTTCTCTTCCTGTATCTAAAAAAAGGTCCTGTCCTGTTAAATCCTGCCTGTCCTGTTGGATCCTGTTGCTTGTTCCCTTTTTTGGCGGCGGTTTCGCGGGGATTGTCGGGGGAGGCAACAGCCGCGCCACAGAAGCTGACCAACCTTTGAAAGGATCATAGGGGGAGGCTGGACGAGCATCCTGTATGCCCGTCAAAAAGACTGCAAGGACATCAAAACATAGCCACTGACATATAGCTACCGCCCCTGGTTTTGCGAAACTTATATATGGCATATGGCATATGGCATATGGGTATGATTGAGGCCACCCAACACAATCACGATGGAACAGTTTCATGGCAACCTGAGTCAAAATGCCCAGTCAGCCTACGCTGGCTATGGGAAACATGCGGTGCTCGTTTCATTTGTGCTTTGTATCCTCCATCCCGGCTATGGGCTCCATGCCTTATCAAAACTCAAAGAAACATTTGGACAACTCAAGCGCACACTGAGCTGGAACGTGATGGGCGAGGAGTGTTGTTCGACTGGAGATTCATACAACTTACTCTGCATAACTGAGATGGTTCAAACTTGGTTCAATGCAATATGATGCAATATGTGCTGGATGTCGGACATGCCTCTTTCTCCCACCAACGGCCAAATAAGGGGGGAACACTGCAGGATTGGAACGTTCTATGAACTGAGCAAATCCTACACTATATATGTAAATCTACACCGACGAAGAGAGAGAGAGAGAGAGAGAGAGACAAAGAGATAGAGGGAGAGAGATAGATAGAGAGACATAAATATATATTACTGTACAAAAAATAAACACATGGAACAAGAAAAAACTGGAACCTATGACCCTCTCGACCAACTCATCGGGCTTCTCAAAGTTTCAGGTCCGAAATTCAGCTCAAACCGGCGGCGACGCCACCTCGTCATGGTTGCCGTCCTGCTTCCACTTGCCTTTCTTATCTCCTTCCTTCCTTTTCTTGGCTCGTGGGTGTGATGGGGGCTCCTCCAGAGCAGTGAGCTCAGACTTTTGCAGCTTCTCAAGCTCTTTCTTTGTGAGGCCTCTCTTTTGAGGATGAACATGGGCTGTAGATTCAAAGGCCTCTTGAGGATGTCCATCTAGCTGAGAAACGTCAAACAACTGCTCTTCATCCGCTGACTCCTCGAGGCATCCATGATGGATTTGGATAATTGTGGACTAACACACATGTCCACTTGCAGTTCAAGGGTTCAAAAAACATGCTCCAAAGATTTGAACCGAAGCAACTCCCCCCGAGCCTGGTCATCGTTGTCCACCTCGTCTTCTTCATCTGCCTCAATCCTTTTCTCAGGTCTTGAACGTGATGGTGGCTCCTGTGAAAAAAGGCTTGGGTTCTTGCGAGCCTGAGGATCAAA